CACATCTGTCAAAAATTTAAACGCAATTCAAAAACTACAAAATAAGGCAATCAAAAATCTTTTCGGCTACAAACACAGAACTTCTACAAAATATATTCACAAAGAACACAGAATTTTGCCTCTGCATCTTTACATTAAATACAACTTGGTAACACAAATACACATGATACTAAATAACAACATAAATACATGTATTTCACCACCCGTCAATAAAAACTATCATAACTACAATACAAGAACGGCTGAAAACTTAAGAATATTATCATCAAATATTAGTTTTAATAGACAAGATACTATATACAACATAGCGTATAGAAACTATAATGAATTAGAAAATGAATTTAAAATTAATGAATTAGATAAATTTAAGGCAGTAGTCAGGGACTTTTATTTAAACCAAATTTAAAATACATACTTGTTTTCGCATTAAAATCAAATTAGCTTTTTTTTTTTTTCTTATATCATTTTTGTTATATTGTTTTCTACTTTTTCTTTTCTTTTATTGGATGAATATGTTAAGAAATTAGATTAATCATTATTTTGCATTGGAATAATTTAGATATTTTTAAGTTAATTATTTACAAATTTTGTTATTGTATATTATATATACCTATGAATTTTATACACTCTATTCGAGCGATTGGGCTCTCATGAGATAAAGAATAAATAAATGAAAAAAAAATAAAAAAAAAAAAAATCACGAAGTGTTTGAATTCAAAATCGAATGTACTATATATTTTAAGAAATAAAATTTACAGTACCCATAATTGCAATCATTGTTGGTAGTTTACACTTTTCGTGTGAAAGTAACAACTAAAATTTATGCTAAATTATTTTTTTGTTTATGACGTATTATGACGTGTTTAAAATCAATTGAAATGAAGCATATTTTGTAAAAAAAAAATTTACAGTTACCATAATAACAATTATTGTTTTTAAATGACCATTTTCGTTTATAGCTAATAACCAAAATGTTTGAAATTAAAATTAATTTAATTTTTTAAAATCAATTCAAATGAAGCATATTTTGTTAAAACAAAATTTACAGTTACCATAATAATAATTATTGTTTTTAAATGACCATTTTCGTTTATAGGTAATAACCAAAATGTTTGAATTTGCAATTAAAATGTGTACGTATAACGTGTCAATTACATAAACACTTTGGTATTGGATGTACTATATTTTTAACAATCAAATTTCGGTTTAACAATTGTTTTGTATTTAATTTATACACTACAAGTGTTTAACATCAAACATTTTAATATGTGTATCAACTTTTATTTAGTCTACAATTTTAAGTGTTTATAATCAAAGATGCAATCGCTTTTAATATCAAACATTTCCTTATTTAATTTTACCATTTTGCGGGTTACAACGGAACGTTTTTGATTTCAACAAGCTTTATTTTTTCGGGGCTAAAAACTTCCAATATCTCATTTTTCTGGGACCTTAGAGGCAATACCCTATCAATGCCTTTTGTCCCATGTCTCTAGCCCTTTTAGAAGTACCCGTACTTTTTGACACCTGAGAAGTTATTTTTATTTTTTTTATTTTATTTTATTTATTTATTCAATTTACAGTTACATTTTTAACAATTTTCAATCAATACTATAATATATAAATGTCAATAAACGCCCAACCACAAGAGACATATATAAATGTCTCTTGTGGTTGGGCGTTTTCGGGGGTTGCCGATGGGCCTTTTTCTGTTGGCCTAGTGCATGGGCTTTGCGCGGGTGTACGGGTGGAGCCCCCCTCTCTTACTTGTTTACTTACTTAGTACTACTATTTATTTTTCTTTTTTTTTATACGAGTTGTACCTTTTAAACTTAACTAAACATTATAATCAAACCTGGATAAGATACTACATTTCCCACCAGAATCGTTATAACTGTTATAGTAGTTCAATGAATTTATCATAAGCAAGACTCGGATTTGCTTCTGTTTTAACTGGATACCAACACTCATGTTAACGAAGAAATGATAGCATCAAGAAGTTTATTTTCTAACGAGAAATATTTTCTGAATCAGAATTGCGTGGAGACAGATTACAAGTATTTTAAAGATAACGAAAACATATTATGATAAGTTTATATTATGATATTATGCCTAAATTAAAATTTTCTGCCCCCAGGTCAAAGCCTTTAAAACGACTTTGTTACCTCAAAAAAATATGATCAACGCATGTACTGCTAAAATCAGAAACACGCGTTGGCGACTCTTTTAAAAGTGAAAACCCGTGAATAGACAACAATCGCATATAAATTTCTTTCAAACGTGACTCTTTCAAAATATCAATTTTTAAGTCTCGTAGCGATATAAAATATCGTCAAGTCGATTTTACATTATATACATATAGCTACTTCTCTGGTGCCAGAAAGTAAGGGTACTTCTAGAAGGTTTTGAGATATGGGACAAATGGCATTAGATAATGTTTTGCCTCCAGGGTCTCAGAAAAGTAAGAATTACACCCACCATCCCCCTTTACCGCCTTCACCTCCTCCAAATGCTTTGTCACCGCTTTTTACGAAACGGTACTATTTCTTGTAGGAGTAATTTTTATTTACTTTTGGTAGAATAAGTATTCTATATAAATTGTGTTTCAAGAAAATTGTTGAAGATGATACAATCTACATTGTTTTATCATAATTATGTACATTAAATTTCTTGCAAAATATATTTTTAGGATAAAATTAATGAGAAAATGTAATTTTGTTTCATTTAATATTTACAAATACTTAGGGTAATTTCAGAAAAATATTTAGGGGCGGAAACTTGCTGATATTAATTAAACTAAAGGGTCAAGCTTTTTTAATTTCATTTTACAGGGTCGGAACCTGAGACTTTTTACATAGAAATCGTATGCTATATGCATTACCCTATATAGTATTAGTATTAGTGTTAACTGATTATACATTCTCTTGTTTTATTCCCATGTATTATGAAATTCAAATACATATGTGCATGGATTTTATTAGCGAATTATTTTATGCGTAAACAGTAATTGATCGCTTAAGGTACTTATTGTCAAAAGTATTTTACAATTTTATCCGACATCACTCACAGCGAGGTTCTAAAATAAATTACTAAAAAGATACTAGATCTCAAAGGAACTAATTATTTGTTTAATTATGTACTTTTTCGTAATTATTTTTAAGAGCTTTTCTTATTTTAAGTTTTATCTTATAAAATATTGGGAAAAAACATATCTATATGCATATTACAGTTGTTTTTTTTAAAAAAAAAGGTAAACTTAAAATATCTCAGCCACAGAATGGAACACAATTTCAAAACCACAGGCATAATACTTGCAAGGCTTGCAATACAGGAATAATACTTGCAAGCACACACGACTAGTTATATATATGTAGCTGCTTCTCAGGTGTCAAAAAGTACGGGTACTTCTAGAAGGGCTAGAGACATGGGACAAAAGGCATTAGATAGGGTTTTGCCTCCAGGGTGCCAGAAAAATCTGATATTGGATCTTTTTAGCCGCGAAATAGCTCGATTTTAAGATTTTCTGAAAAAATTTTTGTATAACAAAAGCTCGTTTTTCTTTTATACTTTTTATAATTATAAACATAAACCAAGAAATAAATGATACGTTTTACGTTATTATTAGAAACACAAACCGAGAAATAAATAATATTTGAAAATATAATGATCTCACATATTTTTGGTTCGCATAATCGAATTAATCTTAACGTAAATAAATGTCAGCTTTTATCAGACATCAGATGTTTTGTGACATCTGAATATTAATATTTCATTTGTTATTGTTTTGAACATTACGTTTCGTCAACAAGCTTTAAAAAAATATACATACAGAATATATGTACGTATGTAGTTAGAATTTTATTTTTATTGTTCCAAACGGAAAACTGTAAAATGCTAAATTTTAATACATTCATATGTACATACATATATTTGAATAAAATTATTATTTTGTTTTTGCCTAAACCTTTTCTTTATTTGAAAAATTACATTCATATGTACATATATATATTTGAATACAATTGAAGGGATTAGAAAAAAAAAAGTTCATCTGGCAAATCGCATTTTTCAGGGTTCGAACCTGGGACTTTTTTCATAGAAATCGTATGCTCTACGTATTACCCTATATACATTAGTATTGGTGTTAACTCATTCTACAGTCACGCGTTTTATTCGCATGTATTATAAACTCCAAATAACGTACATGCATTTAAGTAGCGAATTATTTTATGCGTATACAGTCAGTTATCGCTTAAAGTGCTTATTGTAAAAGGTATTTTACGATTTTATGTGACATAACTCAAAGCGAGGTTCTAAAATAAATTAGAACCTGTAGAAGCTTGAAATTTTAGGAGCTTTTAGATTTATTAAATAGTTCATTTCGTTCAAAGAAATTTTTTTTTCATCTCCACTCCCTCACAAGTTATCGCCTCTTGAAATTTGTAATATTTGATTTTTTGACACCTTATATTTCCGAAACCGCAAGCTTTTTCAAATTTCTATAAACACAAAAAGCTATCGGTAAATTCCTTGACATTAAAAAATTTAATTATTTTTGTTAACTCACACAATTAACCCTTAAAATCGAGCATTATGTTAACCCCACTTTATATTAATTTTTGCTTTATTTCAAAGACTGCATAAATCGTTCATCCTGAATATCCCAGAACTAGTTTTGTACACGAATGAAAATAATTTTAATAGTTTGATAGGTGTACAGAGACTGAATTTTCACTTGTTGAAGGGAAAAGTGCTACAATACAAACCATTGGTTTGACCCAACTTTATTATCTTTCATTAGTTGTGAAAATGAATTTCTTTGTATAACCGTAAATTTTCGTAACCGTATTCGTATTTTCATAAAAAAAAAATTAAAATACGACACGCTCGAAATTTCACAATTTGTTTAAATTTTTATTGTGTTACTATTTTATTTTATCTAAAAATTTATTTTATTATAAAAATTTAAAGGTACCTGTAATTCATAAGTGATATATTTTTAGGATATATTGGATCACACTGTATATTAACACTTGCAGAAGCAGGGTATAATGTAGTTGCTTTAGATAATTTTGCTAATTCTGTTAACGGTGAACATGGTGAACCTGTTGCTCTGAAAAGGGTAGAGGAAATTACCGGGAGAAATATTATCTTTTATAAATGTGATATGCTTAATCTAGATAGCATAGACGAAATTTTTTCTAAGCATTCTATTAATGCAGTTATACATTTTGCTGCTATGAAAGCGGTTGGTGAATCGATGCAGCTTCCATTACTTTATTACAAAAATAATATGATTGGAATTATTAACCTTTTAATAGCAATGGAAAAATATCACGTTTATAATTTAGTATTTTCTAGCTCGTGTACCGTATATGGTGAACCAAGCAAATTGCCTTTAACTGAATATGATCACACTGGAAATATTTCAAACGTATACGGAAGAACTAAATATTTTATTGAAGAAATGCTAAAAGATATATCAAAAGCAGATTTGAATTGGAATATCATTGCTCTTAGATATTTCAATCCAGTTGGAGCTCATGTTTCAGGAAAAATAGGAGAAGATCCAACAAAAAAATTTACGAACTTAATGCCATATATTAGTCAGGTTGCAATTGGCAAAAAACCAGTTCTTGAAATATATGGCAGTGATTATGACACTGTGGACGGAACCGGAGTAAGAGACTACATCCATGTAATGGATTTGGCAACAGGGCATATAGCTGCGTTGAAGAAAATTATGTCTGAGCGACTTGGCATAAAATTCTATAATCTTGGCACTGGCAAGGGATGGACTGTTTTACAGCTTATAAGTATATTTGAAAAAGTGAATAAGGTAAAGGTTCCATTTGTGATAAAAGCCAGACGTGTTGGAGACATTTCTTCAATGTATGCGGATGGTAAGTTAGATGGGTTTTATATTTTATTCAATAACTTTGTTCTTTTTTTAAATATTTAGTGTTATCTGAAATTTTTTCTGTATTCATATTTGTCAAACCAGATGTGGTCAACACATACCCGAAGGTGTATTTCTTAGTTTATTAAAAATATTTCATCACATTAAGAGAATGTCTATTGAACAGTTCCTTCAAATATTGAGGGCGCTAGCAACATCTTAGTAAACATACTAAGAAAAATGTAGTTTCGGGTCTTAGAAGAGATTCACAGTAAGCCTTTCGAATTCCAAGAAAAGTCCATCGGATACTTCCGGAACCAAACAAAGCCCAAATATTAAATTTCAAGAAATTCAATTACATAAATCTATAGATATGATACAAAATGTAATATAAGCACACAACTCAATGTTCGAACCCTGGTATACCCAAGAAAATTTCAAGTTCGCTGTTTTAACTCCCTGAATTTCAAGAATATGGCTCAGTTATTTTTCTATATATGTTGTCAGTGATTTTTCTTTATAAGTAATAAATTATTATTACTAAATAATAAATAAAAAATAATAAATAATAAATAATACATAATAAATAATAAATAATAAATAATAAATAATAAATTATAAATAATAAATAATAAATAATTAATAATAAATAATAAATAATAAATAATAAATAATAAATAATAAATAATAAATAATAAATAATAAATAATAAATAATAAATAATAAATAATAAATAATAAATAATAAATAATAAATAATAAATAATAAATAATAAATAATAAATAATAAATAATAAATAATAAATAATAAATAATAAATAATAAATAATAAATAATAAATAATAAATAATAAATAATAAATAATAAATTATAAATAATAAATAATAAATAATAAATAATAAATAATAAATAATAAATAATAAATAATAAATAATAATTAATAAATAATAAATAATAAATAATAAATAATAAATAATAAATACTCGTAAAAAATAATAAATAATAAATAATAAATAATAAATAATAAATAATAAATAATAAATAATAAATAATAAATAATAAATAATAAATAATAAATAATAAATAATAAATGACAAATAATAAATAATAAATAATGAATAACAAATAATAAATAATAAATAATAAATAATAAATAATAAATAATAAATAATAAATAATAAATAATAAATATTAAATAATAAATAATAAATAATAATTAATAAATAATAAATAATAAATAATAAATAATAAATAATAAATAATAAATAATAAATAATAAATAATAAATAATAAATATTAAATAATAAATAATAAATAATAAATAATAAATAATAAATACTCGTAATAAATAATAAATAATAAATAATAAATAATAAATAAATAATAAATGACAAATAATAAATGACAAATAATAAATAATAAATAATAAATAATAAATAATAAATAATAAATAATAAATAATAAATAATAAATAATAAATAATAAATAATAAATAATAAATGATAAATAATAAATAATAAATAATAAATAATAAATAATAAATAATAAATAATAAATAAAAAATAATAAATAATAAATAATAAATAATAAATAATAAATAATAAATAATAAATAATAAATAATAAATAATAAATAATAAATAATAAATGATAAATAATAAATAATAAATAATAAATAATAAATAATAAATAATAAATAATAAATAATAAATAATAAATAATAAATAATAAATAATAAATAATAAATAATAAATAATAAATAATAAATAATAAATATTAAATAATAAATAATTAATAATTAATACTAATAATATATAATAAATAATAAATAATAAATAATAAATAATAAATAATAAATAATAAATAATAAATAATAAATAATAAATAATAAATAATAAATAATAAATAATAAATAATAAATAATAAATAATAAATAATAAATAATAAATAATAAATAATAAATAATAAATAATAAATAATAAATAATAAATGACAAATAATAAATAATAAATAATAAATAATAAATAATAAATAATAAATAATAAATAATAAATAATAAATAATAAATAATAAATAATAAATAATAAATAATAAATAATAAATAATAAATAATATATAATAAATAATAAATAATAAATAATAAATATTAAATAATAAATAATAAATAATAAATAATAAATAATAAATATTAAATAATAAATAATAAATAATAAATACTCGTAATAAATAATAAATAATAAATAATAAATAATAAATAATAAATAATAAATAATAAATAATAAATAATAAATGACAAATAATAAATAATAAATAATAAATAATAAATATTAAATAATAAATAATAAATAATAAATAATAAATAATAAATAATAAATAATAAATAATAAATAATAAATATTGAATAGTAAATAATAAAAATAAATAGTAATTAATAAATAGTAAATAATAATTAATAAATAATAAATAATAAATAAGAAATAAAAAATAATAAATAATAAATATATAATAGTAAATAATAAATAATAAATAGTAAATAGTAAGTAATAAATAATAAATATTGAATAATAAATAATAAAAGTAAATAATAAATAATAAATAATAAATATTGAATAGTAAATAATAAAAATAAATAGTAATTAATAAATAGTAAATAATAATTAATAAATAATAAATAATAAATAAGAAATAAAAAATAATAAATAATAAATATATAATAGTAAATGATAAATAATAAATAGTAAATAGTAAATAATAAATAATAAATATTGAATAATAAATAATAAAAATAAATAATAAATAATAAATAATAAATAATAAATAATAAATAATAAATAATAAATAATAAATAATAAATAATAAATAATAAATAATAAATATTAAATAATAAATAATAAATAATAAATAATAAATAATAAATAATAAATAATAAATAATAAATAATAAATAATAAATAATAAATAATAAATAATAAATAATAAATAATAAATAATAAATAATAAATAATAGATAATAAATAATAAATAATAAATAATAAATAATAAATAATAAATAATAAATAATAAATAATTAATAATAAATAATAAATAATAAATAATAAATAATAAGTAATAAATAATAAATAATAAATAATAAATACTCGTAATAAATAATAAATAATAAATAATAAATAATAAATAATAAATAATAAATAATAAATAATAAATAATAAATGACAAATAATAAATAATAAATAATAAATAATAAATAATAAATAATAAATAATAAATAATAAATAATAAATAATAAATAATAAATAATAAATAAGAAATAATAAATAATAAATAATAAATAATAAGTAATAAATAATAAATAATAAATAATAAATACTCGTAATAAATAATAAATAATAAATAATAAATGACAAATAATAAATAATAAATAATAAATAATAAATAATAAATAATAAATAATAAATAATAAATAATAAATAATAAATAATAAATAATAAATAATAAATAATAAATAATAAATAATAAATAATAAATAATAAATAATAAATAATAAATAATAAATAATAAATAATAAATAATAAATAATAAATAATAAATAATAAATAATAAATAATAAATAATAAATAATAAATAATAAATAATAAATAATAAATAATAAATAATAAATGATAAATAATAAATAATAAATAATAAATAATAAATAACAAATAATAAATAATAAATAATAAATAACAAATAATAAATAATAAATAATAAATAATAAATATTAAATAATAAATAATAAATAATTAATACTAATAATATATAATAAATAATAAATAATAAATAATAAATAATAAATAATAAATAATAAATAATAAATAATAAATAATAAATAATAAATAATAAATAATAAATAATAAATAATAAATAATAAATAATAAATAATGAATAATAAATAATAAATAATAAATAATAAATAATAAATAATAAATAATAAATACTAAATAATAAATAAAAAATAATAAATACTCGTAATAAATAATAAATAAAAAATGATAAATAATAAATAATAAATGACAAATAATAAATAATAAATAATAAATAATAAATAATAAATATTAAATAATAAATAATAAATAATAAATAATAAATAATAAATAATAAATATTGAATAGTAAATAATAAAAATAAATAGTAATTAATAAATAGTAAATAATATTTAATAAATAATAAATAATAAATAAGAAATAAAAAATAATAAATAATAAATATATAATAGTAAATAATAAGTAATAAATAATAAATAATAAATAATAAATAATAAATATTAAATAATAAATAATAAATAATAAATAATAAATAATAAATAAGAAATAATAACTAAGAAATAATAAATATTAAATAATAAATAATAAATAATAAATAATAAATAATAAATAATAAATAAGAAATAAGAAATAATAAATAAGAAATAATAAATAATGAACAATAAGTAGTAAATAATAAGTAATAATAAATAATAAATAACAAATAATAATTAATAATAAATAATAAATAATAAGTAATAAATAATAAATAGTAAATAATAAATAATAAATAATAAATAACAAATAATAAATAATAAATAATAAATAATAAATAATAAATAATAAATATTAAATAATAAATAATAAATAATAAATAATAAATAATAAATAATAAATAATAAATAAGAAATAATAAATAATAAATAATAAATAATAAATATTAAATAATAAATAATAAATAATAAATAATAAATAATAAATAATAAATAATAAATAATAAATAACAAATAATAAATAATAAATAATAAATAATAAATAATAAATAATAAATAATAAATATTAAATAATAAATAATAAATAATAAATAATAAATAATAAATAAGAAATAATAAATAAGAAATAATAAATAATGAACAATAAGTAGTAAATAATAAGTAATAATAAATAATAAATAACAAATAATAATTAATAATAAATAATAAATAATAAGTAATAAATAATAAATAAT